AAATCGGTAACAATTACATGACTGAACCAGGAGGTCACCATGACAATCTGTATAAACTAAGCAGGGCTGCTTTGAGAAAAAAGGTGGTCAGAAAGGCAATGCTTAGGACTTAATAAATGTTACAACTACAATACATAGTTTTTTCAGTGAAGAGTACAACGTGTAGATAGGGAGCAGCAGATTTATAATGGCGCTGACAAACTAAGGAGATCAAGAGGCAGATTTATGTACTGTGTGATATTTAAACAAGTAGAATGAACCCAAACTGACAAACTGGGGAGAAAATACAAAGCAGAGATTTCCTTTGTGCAGAGTGGCAACCAGGCCACTTAGCTGTTTGCACAGTCATCAGTAGTCTTCTGTGCTAAGAAAAACAACCCTCATGGCCAGTGCTGGAGTTGCTCACGCGTTGAAGCGCCTCTTTTTTTTGCACGGGTTTAAAATATAAGTGAAGGACTTGGAATTAAAAGAGGTGGAAACATTTCAAGAGAATACTATTTTGTAGAGTTAGCAGAGCCTTATAATTGGCAACATTCTTAGTGTAGTAAAAAAGAAAGCAATCATAGTTATACTGTCTGACATTTATATAAATTCGGTTAAAAGCAACCAGGCGTGCATCTGTCCTCATTTGTAACTCTTTGACTTCATTAAAATGCCCCATAAACGTTCTATAGAGCTGCAGTAAAAAGACTGGGCGTGTTAAAAAGCCCCCAAGCAAGTCGCTGAAACCTGCCACATTCATTTCAGAGTGGCCAACTGCTTCAGACAACATGACAAGATCTATATCACTCCAACTGAATAACCTAAACCCAGAAAACACAGCGGGTTTACATCACATACAACCGCAGTCCAAAACCTCAAACGCCTCGCTCTTGTTTTACGCCTCAACGGTCAGCTAACATGTCGTTAGCTACTTATTAGCTAGAGAGCTAATAGGCGACTGACAGTTAGCAGGTAGTGGTAGCAAAATGCTAACCACAGTCAGGAGAAAACCGGGCTCACAATACATTACGCGCTTAAAAATAAAAATCTCCGCATAACAGCACCAGAGGTGATACATCATAAGAATTTAACATACCTTTAAAAAATTTAAGGGCCAGTCCGTACAGCTCCAGTAAAGGAAAGCCCCATTTCCTTTCTATCGCAGATTTGCCTGACTCTCCATCGTCGCCCTCTTCGTCCGCCGGTGTATCTGTCCCAGGTTGAGTGGGAGCGAGATTCGGTTCTTCCACCTGGTTCTGCTCGTCCTCGGGGTCCGGGCTGAGGGTGAGGCCGTCGATGGAAACTTCGAGCCGGCTGGTCGTAGCGCTGTCGAGGTCGCCGCTCTGAACCTCTGTCGCCATCATTGTAGACTGTCAGCTGAAGCAGCCACGTACCTACTTCCGTTTAGACCTGACGGAAGATCCGTTTTTTTTTTGTTTTTTTTAAATAAGTAAACAGTGACGAGGCTTTAACCCGAAAGACAGAACACATTCATATTGGATTATTTACACATTTACTTCATTTTAAAGCAGACTTAAATAAAAAGGAGTAGATTCACAGAAAAAGTGAATGACAATTATAGCTTAATATACATTACTTAAAACCAATGGAATGTCCAACTATGGACATAGACCAGCCAGAATATTCATTCCCTTATTCTGATAAACATTTTTTTCTGTCCTTGATAGCTCCCGGTCACACTGTCTCTTGCATCTGGTGTTCACTATCAGCCCATATTTGCACAGTTTGATTTTTTGCAGCTTAATTTCAACCTTTTTTCTTTATTTTACACTGAGACTATGTACAACATTTGATTGACATTTTCTAAAGGAAACATACTGTAGGGGAAAAAAAAACATTCTAATTTCCACCTGTAGTGCCAGTGCCAGCTGAGGTCAAGTATAATTTAATAAACTGAATTGATAAAACCAGTATACATAAATCATGATTCAAAACCAGTCAAACCACTCCAACTACAACTCTACACATGCTAAGTAAGACCATTGCTTGATTTAGCTATATATCTTCACCATTCACATTAACCAATGGCTAATTTGTACTGTGTATGAAATAAAGCAATGGTGCAATGAGAAGTGTGGGAAAAGATTTGATAAGATTTAATTTCTAACATAATGAGAATGATAAAATATCTATTTATGAATTAACTTTAGCAACTAAAATTTAAGTTGCAATGTTATGTGTAAAGTTCAAATACCAAAGGACTTCATCTGAATCAACTAAACAAATAAAGAAGTCGTGGAAGATGCTCCCAGCCCCTCAAAAACGAAAGTTAAAAAAAAAAAAAAAATAGTTCAGACATTTTCAAAAACATTGGAGTAGATAAATGGGCTACCAGAAGAATCTGACCATTCTTGCAGTAAAACTGAAATACCTCTTAAATACGCAAAGACCACACTGAAAGGAAAGGCCCATAAGGTAGTTGACATTTTCACATATCTCTGCAAACCTTTGAGGTTGATCTACCAGCCTGACTGTGGAACAAATGCATGTGGGCCAGATCAAACTGTTAGTTTGCCAAGTCTTTGGAAGGTGTGAACCTGTTTTTGGATCCTGAGGCAGCTGCTGACTGGAAATAGCCATTAATCCCTACGCACCTCTGGTGTCTGAAGTGCAGTCCTGACTGTACACAAACATTGATTCCTTTTAACAGTTTAGTTTCATTTCTGTAGCCCAAAGCTTAATGATAACCCACATTAAAAATGAATCAAGACAAAACCGTTTGTCTTTACTTAATATTAGTAAAACTGTAAGCTTTGTTACCTGTTTGTATTTGCAGAATTGCTTCGAGGAAGCATATTGCTCTCTGAGAACTTATCACTGACAGTCACAAGGGAGCTGGAAGTTTAACACCCTCATTTTGCATAGCAATATGGTCTGTGTTCACAGGCAATACCCAATTAAGGTCCTCAGACAGAGCGACCGAAAGAGCTGTGAACGTCCTAAGCGACAAGAGCATCCTACCTGAACAAAGGTGAAGGTGTAAAAGCGCTGAGATCAATAAGCACTAATGTTGATGGGAAATTACACAGCAGCTCTCAGGTACTGTAAATTCACAAAGCCAGCAAGTTCGCTGCTACACACATGCTGAATGACTTACATTCTCACTTTTTTTTTCTTTCAAAATAGGACGACAAAAAAATTGATGACTTTAAGATATTTATATTGCCAAACATGGAGCCTTTTTCCTGTGGTTTACCGCAGCATGAGATTAGCCCTATAAGTCTTGTGAGTCATCCAGAGTCTGGATTTCATTTAGTGATTCAGTTTTGCAATGTTAAAGTCAACCCACACCCAGAGAAGTTTCATATATAGTAAAACACTAATTTTTCAAAGGACATTTCTGTAAAAGCCGCCAAACTAATGATCAAGTGCACTGTTAAGTTGTTAACCGAATAAAAGCTAACTCTTACTAATCTTGTTAAACAAAAGGGGACAAATTATCCTGTCTGCGATCCTAGATGGACTATTGACTTGATACCTATACAGGTGAGTCTACTAATAACAATTGGCCATTCCTTTGGGCTTCTTTTGAACTGGAGTTTGTGTATTCCAGTTAACATTGTCCCACTTAGGAAGACAGTGAAGTATAATTTTAGGACAACATTATCTTTAAAATAAATAAATAAATAAAAAAACAAGATAAACCTGTTTGTGGATAGACGGATGTATGTTATACCTGTAAACAAATGTATTTATTAATTTATTACACAATGTGTAATTGTGTAAAAGAAAAATAACAAAAATAAATAAATAAAAGTCTGAAAAGTTTGGCATGTATTTGCATCCGTACCGTTTGAGGCAAAGCTGTCTACGACCTTACAGCTGAGAGCCTTTGGAAAAATCTGACAATTCTTCATGGCAAATCGGTGAGACTGAACAGACTAAAATCTGAAGTTAAGAGGGAATTTTTGGTATTTTAAGGACCAAATTGACAATTAGTTACAAAAAACAATAAAATCTGGTAAAATATGTTTGGTTATTTTCCAAATCACTTTCTTTCAATATAAAACTTATGAAAGTTTAACAAAAACTGTGGGTGTATGTCTGTGCCTAGTGCATTTTTGGTTAAAACATGTTTGTTTTTCATTCAGTGGGTAGAGAATCCAAAAATTCCGAGAAGCGATACTTCATAACCAAATTACTCAAATAAAGGTAAAAAAAGTACAGTGTAGTAAAAATACTACTAAAGGTAATTTTTTCCAAAACGTTACTCAAGTAAATGTAATTGAATAAATGTAAATGGTTATTACTAAACTCTACCTGTCAATTTAGGAGGAAGGCAGTATAAAATGGAAGGAAGCTACGACTTCCTTCCATTTTATGCTAATTTAATGACTACACTTTTCAGGCTTTTATGGTTAAAAACTGAAAAAATATGTCTATCAGAGAAAATCCCAATAAATATTTGAAGTTTTCAATTATGACATTACAAATTGAGAAAAGGCTTAAGGGGACAGGGCTAATATTATAACTCAAACTTTAAGATAAATGACAGTTTTTCATTGTGTTACTTGACATGGACTGGGTTTGCAAATTCAGTACCAAGCCATGGGATTCTGTCTTCCTGCTGTCGCACGGCGAGCCCTTTGAACTTGTGCCCTGTTGGGAATATTTCCGTCCAGTTTCCGACTGTCTCCCTTTGAAGACCACCGGTCCATTAGTGTAGCTTCACCCATTTCAGAAGCGGATAAATGTTTTCTCTGTCAATGTGTATTGAGGCCCGCAGCTTCCATTACCCCCCGCCTTTATATAGGCCCGCGGCCGCTCCACCGCTCCGGGTGTGATGGTTTACACCTCCTCGGGCCCGCAGACGTCTGAAGTCGCTGCGCGGTCGCTCCAGTGCCAGTCGGCCCCGATGGCTGACCCATTCACACGTCCAGATAGCAACTACCTTTGATCGCGGAGGGATATATTAACTCGAGCAAACTCGAAGGATTCAATCTCAGTTGGACACTAGAGGTAGGACGCGGAGGACCATGTCTGCGGTTAGTGGGAATATGCGCGTCGGGGATCTAAGTCACTTCCAGATGTATCAAGAGGGGCCCCTGCAGTTGAACAGCGCGGTATCGTCAGGTCAGTTTCTTTAGGATCTAAGCTTTCTGTAAAAGTAGATAATTTCAGAAAGTGTATGCATCTACACTCTAGCTGATTCTTCGTGCCATTTACTCATTTCCCCAAACTTCTTCTAGACTATGGAGCCTCAGACGTTACAAACTACTTTACCTCAACAAAACCTGGTGCGAGAGAGGACAAGTGCGTTGCTATTCTGACCCACAGGAGAAAGAGGACCAATTTCACCCAGCAGCAAATAGAGATTCTGGAGAAAGTTTACTCTGACACCAAATACCCAGATATCTACTTGAGAGAGCGACTGGAGGCTCTGACTGGGCTGCCGGAGTCCAGGATTCAGGTAATGTACTTTAGGTTGACGGATTTAACTCAAGAGAATTGGTTTTCAATGATTACTTGTGACAAAAATAAACCACTCTTTTTTTTATTTTCTTGCCTCAGGTGTGGTTTCAGAACAGAAGGGCCAAGTCACGTCGCCAAGTTGGCTCCACAAAAGCATCCAGCGCACCACCAGGAGGCCCCTTTGGGCAACTTCAAAGCAGAATGTGTCCAGAGAAAGGTAATTATTAAATAAAATCAGTAGAAAGCCCCCGGACCCCACTATTGGATCAGCAATCTTTTCTTACTTGGCTTCTTTCTTTTCCAGTCTACGATAGCCATGGTACTGAGGTACACAGGTCAGGAGGTCTAGAAGATGGTTGGACCGGCGTTCAGCTCAAATCCAGCAGCTACGAACGGGAGCTGCCTTCCTGCATCTACGACAAGGGAACCAGAGCCCCAGCAGAGCAGATACAGATTAAGCCTGCCGGGGCCGTCCCAAGCTGCTGCATCCCTCTTTATCCTGATGAGTTGGAGCACCATCCAAGAACCAAAACCAGCATGCCTGGCAACCAGGGCCCACAAATTCTGGTGGAGTATGATAATTTCCCACCAAATAAAACGATTGGACCAGAGATGAAAGTTGTGATTCCTCCCCTACCCACGCAAGAAAGCTTCAGCAGGTCATCCCCGCAGGATAAGGAAGGCCAAATGCGGAATCCACAACCGAAGGCCACAGAAAGGTTCAACCAGTTTCCTCCAGTCTTTAGTGGAGAGACACAGGACATCAGTGACTCTGATTCTGACTGGGAAAGTGATGCCATGACTGGCTTTCATGGATTTATGTGATGTTAATGATAATATATTTATTATAAAGCTGTAATAAGACTGTTAACACAAAAAACTAAGAAATCTCTTTATATGTGTTAACTGGAATCTATTTTTGAATAAACTCAACAACAATAAGCAGTTGAAATCGCATGTTTAATATAAAAAAAGAGGGAAACATTTATATACAACTGCCCTGAGGCGCTCTCATATACATTTGTACAAAACAAACAGGAAAGAAGTGTTGACTTGAGATCTTAAGGGTTAAGTCAATAATGCAGGCTTCATTTGTGGGGGGAAAAGGGAGTTGCAGCAGCAGCCATGCCTGAGGTGGAAATGCTAAGATCTTAGAGAGTAAAAGGCATCGAAACCCAACATTTCTCCTTTATAAAAATACCAAAATCTCTTTTCAGTGCACACAAAAATTACAAAAGCCATTTCTGAACATACAGCAGAAATGTTGACAATAGTCCTAATAATCATATAATATACAATTATCTACAATCAGTTTTATAAAACATTCTTCAGCCTCCCCTGTGCTTGCCAGCGGCGGAGCAACAGAACAAAACACTTACAGGGGGAAACATTAGGGACAGGAAATATTTCTTCACAACCATACACATCTATGCAAAAATAAATAAATACAGACTATAAAACTGTTAGAATCAATGTTTGGCACATGGAAACCAATAAATAACACCTAAGAGCTTGGAGATCTCAACTGTGGCAGGTAAAGATACAGATTAGTGATGACAGGAGACTGTTTCAGGCTTGTATTGGTTGGTTGCACAAACATTTTTATACAATAAAATGGGTGGGTAAAATACATGACATCACCCTCCGTTTAGAAAACCCCGGGAATCCGAGACAAACTTCGTCCAAACTTGGGCTTGCACAACGGTGAGCCACGGTGTCAACACGGCCCAATGTTTGTCGCCTTAACAGCTCCGTTTTCAGGAGACGGCAATAGTAAGCCTCATTTCAGTGTGTGCATGCACCTGTGTGCGTGTGTGTGTGTGCGTGGTTGTGTGTGTGTTAGGGAGGATGTAGAGACTCAGACCGCATTGGTGTTGTTGGCAGCGAATGCGTGCAGATTGCCCAGCTGACTAAGACCACTCTGGATGTGTGCCACGTGGATTTCAACGTTATTCTGAAAGCAGCTGGAAAAAGAAGATTAAAAAGTCATTAAAAAAATAAACAAGCAATCATCTGCCTCTCTAAAACCTCCTAAAAGTTTTCATATCCAAATTTTTTTTTTTTCAATTGTCACTTTAAAATAACATATGGTTTGCAAACAGTTTTTATGTGAGAGATCAACACCAGTTAGTAGCATAATTGAAGTTGTAACAAAGATCTTAAAAGTTTGGCATGCATTATTTTCTACCAAGTTTGTACATCTGGACACAGAATTTCTATAGCCCATTGTTTGCAAATCAGCTCAATATGAGCCCGATCAAACATACAAGTAATGCCATAAGATAATTAATTGGATTGATGTCTGGTCTTTGACTGGAACCTTCTAACATATGATTATGTTTTGATCTAAAACTGGTGTCCAAATCTTTAGCTTGCTTATAGACTAAACATACAATATTTCATTGGAACAAATAAAGTAGATTAATTTGGTAAAAATAAAAACAGCATCCCCGTAGCATGATGGTACCACAACCGTGTTTCACCATGGCATAATATTTTTAAGGGCTGTGTGGAGTCTAAACTAAACTCCAAATCGAATTCTTTATAATTTGTAGTTTCAATGTGATGAAAAGATAAATATATTTAAAGTCACAATTACACATTTTTTATTCACCTGGAGCATGACTACAAAAAAGCAGAAGGAACTATTTGTAGGTGGTTTACCTGAGGTTGGATGAATCAATTGATGCTTTGATGTCATTCAGGGAGTCTGTTAGAGATTTAAACTCAAATGAATTCAGATCTCCTCCGTCTGCAAGACACTGAAACAAAAACAGGACACTGTGTAAGGATTTGCCACACATGAGCATAACCAGTCTAATTCTTGTCATGTGTTGCTGTGAGCGGCAAAATGTCTCTCTGTTCTCCAACCTTTATCTGTAGCAGCAACGCGGTGAGGCGGGAGACTAGGTGTGTGAGGCTGGCGTTTGTCACGCTTGGCTGGCCGTCCCGCTGCGTGTTGCTCAGCTGCACCATCTGCTGGGCCTCTTCTTCGCAACGCCGCCGCAGATCTGTGGGATGGTCAGCTGGAACCATGCCCTGGTCTGGAGAGAGCTGAAAACATAAACAATTGTATGTAGCAAAGCCTCTTGTCCTCCACTTTTCACTACCTATATGGCTACAGATAAACATGGTGCAGACAGTGGGATTTAAAATAAGTCTCAGTGACTAATCCTGCTTGGATTTAAGCATTCAGTTTTGACTTACTTCACAACAGAACTGCTGAACTTCATGCAGCACCTTGTTCAGATCTTTATTAAGCTGCTCCAGTTCGAGCACAGTGGTGGCATAACGCTTCTGAAAGTCCAGGTCGATTGGCATCGAGTACGACTTCTGAACACAGGAAACCAGCATGCAGGTGAGGTTAAGCTCCATCTCCAAAGAATTTACTATTAGTCATATTAGTTCATGACTTTACCAGTTTCTCTGCCTCCGTGTTCATTTCTTTTAAGTGCTTTATGTGCTCTTTCTTAATCATGAGGATTTTAGATAGCCTCGTCTGAAAAGCAGAAAAATGTGTTTGAAGTGGCGCTGGTTTTTAATGATTCAAACCATTTTTTGACAGGAAATACTTACAACTTGGACAAGGAATTTTACAGGAAATCCACCCAGTGTTTCTCCCTCTGTGCTGGGCAGCTTGGTCCTCCATGGTGAAGCGTTCATAAGAGGATCATTGTCCTGGTTTTTGAAAGAAATTGAAATGTATGTTGATAACCAGTTCAGACAATAAGAAAAGAGAATTACACAGAATGAGGAAAGTACAACAAAATGTTAACTTATTGTGCTGTAAAATGACCATCCACTGTTTGCTTCAATCCTCTGGGTTTGTTGGAAGTTGTGATTGTGTTATATCACCTTCCTGATTGAAGTGAGTTTTCTTAGCCCAATATTAGCTCCTACTGCTATCAATTACATCCAACTAAGGAATGTATTAAACTGACAATGTCAGATACGGGAATGTAACCGCAGATGAAGCTAGTTTTTTACAAAATACAGACTCAGAGTAAGAATTCATGCTAGGCCTTTCTGACTCTGGAAAGTTGATCATCTCTTAAATTCTCAATAGAATACATTGAAGTTTGTAACATCACAAAATGGAAAATAGGTTCAGGAGGCACTGCCTACTGAGGAGAACCAGACAGTTAACCAAAAACTGTGGATGGATGTAGGTTTACCATTTGTACAGGAGTGGTAACAGATGGGTAGGGCGCTCGAGGAGGAGTCATGAGGTTCTGTATGTAGCGTGTTGACCGGTGCTTCTGTGCGAAGGCAGAGATGGGCATAGTTTCATTGGGCTCATTGCTCTGAAAAACAGAAACATTGCCAAATTAAGACAAAAAATTAATCCACCTTTTCCTATGTTTATATATTTGTTAGAGCAACTGCCTACTGTGGTGTTATTTCATCAGCAACAGAAGAAGGTAAACGCTTTACCAGGACTTCGTAATCAGGCACAGTGTGAGTTCCCAGGCCGCTGCGGTCAAAAGTGACACGGTAAGTTGCAGCGCTGGTGTCAACAGCATCAATCTGCCCCGTGAAAAGCCCGTCATGGACGCCTCGAAGCCGAGCTGGACAAAAAAATATTGTAATCAAAACTGAAAGGTGACTGAAGTTAAAGCACATAACGTTTTCATTGCAGTGACCTCACCTGTGACTTTAGTTCCTATGATGAGTGGTAACGGGATTTCATCGGGAAGGTCTTTGCAAGTCGACACGTCTGACAACTTCCTCTGCTGCAGAAGACGCATCTTCTGGCGCTTTTGTCTCAGGGCCGTTCGCTCTTCAGCAAAGAAGGCAGATGAACACCTAGGTGGATCATTAGAGTCCAGCAATGAGATGCCAATTCTTTTCTACTGCAGAGTTCAGAGTTGCTCAAAAAAAAAAAAAAAAAAAAAAAAAACTAATGAAAAGGAGCTAATTCATCTTTTATTGTAAAACTCAAAGCGCACCGTCTTGGTTTCCCCATCAGCCTCCTGATTGTTCCCCACTCGACTCGAGTCAGTTTTCTTGTTTTTAGGTTGGGAAAAGATTCCTTGAGGCACAAGCAAAATTCATTGTCACCTTCAAAAAGAGGCCTGGAAAAATAAACGAACATAGTTTAGTGAGGGAAATAAATGAAAACACAATTATTCAATTTTATTTTTAACTAAAGATATTTACAGATTATAAACATAAGTACACAGTCATAATTTGAATACAAGTTCCGATGAGGCTCGCTTGTCAGATTAAAAGGAGCACTGAAAGGTTCAAGTGGGTATTAAATGTACTTTTCATCCACATTTTTGTATTAAAACTATTATTAGTCTGACATAATATTCTAATCTCGAAACATGAATGTCAGTTTGGCATGAACTGTGTCTAAAATGACAAGCAGAACTAATTTTTTCCTGATTTATGTGTCCTAAATCTAGAAGTATTAATTACTATGGGTAAAAGTGAGAAATTACCTGTCAATATTGGAATAAAACCATTCATAGATGCACCATTTGTGAGCTTTGGGTAGCTTAAGAAGGTTTCTCAACCTCAACCCAATTTTTTGTGACGCCTTCTTATCTGGTGTTACGATGTTAGAAAACTTCTGCAAGACAAGTAAAATAGTCATTTAAGTAAATATGCAAACACAATAAGTGAACATTCAGTTTAATGGACTCATCACAAGGCTTTTTTTTTTTTGCCAGACTACTAAAAATGCCAAATCTCACAGATTCTATCTAATTACTTTTTATTATCTAATATTTTTTAAGGGCAAGCTTTACACAAATGTTTTGGCAGAAGACTAGAAACGGATGTGGAAAAATAAGGTATTAAGTCAGAATTTTTATAAAGAACAAACAAAGCTGAGCTGAGGCAATTCCTATGTAACGGTGTATGAATCTCAGCCTTGTGAAAAATTTTCTTTTAGTCTGCTGAATATTTCATGAAGTGTCTTTGAATACACACATACAGCTCCGCTCTGATGTCGTCCCATATATAATATTCAAGGCTACAGAAACAATGCTACAATTGTCAGTCGCCAAATTTCCACACTTAAGGCACCATTCCAGAAATTCAACCAGAACAGTAAAGTACACGTCACTTCTCCTTTGTAATTATCACAGGTTAGGAGCTTTTCACCTGTGGTGTAGTGGTGACTCTCTGGCTCCTACGAGGAGATCTGGAAGAGATTCGCTGTTGGGGCGGTTCGTCTTCATCCCGAAACGAGCGGCTTCTCTTAGAACTCCGCGTGGGCTGAGGAAACAAACGTAGGGTTTGGCTCAAAGAAAACAGTTATTAGACATTCTCTTTTCATCTCTTTCTAAGAATTTATAAGCAGTACCAAGATAAAATACCTGGCATTCGATGAGATAAAAGTAAACTAAACTGAGTCTTCATTTTTTCTTAAAAACCTCCATTAAAAAAAACTAAACAAAAAATAAATATTGAAGAAATCCCTTAAATTGAATTTGATTTTCTTTTATACCAATGTGAGAAATTTGCCCTTCTGTTATTGCATACCAAAACAAACCATAAAAATGTATTTTAATATACGATAACTGACTGGTACAATAACAACCCACATGATCCGGATCATTCCAGTCTTAGCCCTTATTGTGTTTCTTACTGTGTCCATTGTGATGGAAGAATGTCGTCCTCTGGTGTTGTGTGCTCTTGTGAAGCTGTTCTTTTCATTTAATGAGTTGGACAAACTGCCCTCTGTAAAATAGTCAGTGGATCCGTTTAAAATAACATCACTACTAAACACAGAAGACAGGTTTTGAAAAGAAAACTCAACATGTTGTCTAACACATGAGAAAAACTGAAGCTGACAGCACCTAGACGGTCAAAGAAAGTGACCACCGACCTTTTAGACTGACGAGCGCCTCAGCTGAGGAACCTGAGGAAAAGGAAAAAAAAAAAAAAGTACCGTCAGACAAAAACAAAATAGTATAGAAAGAAATGAAGTGGACTAGAGATGAAGTGGAACATTTTGAGGTGACTGGAATCGGATGTTTCACACTTCATCCATATGTTAAAACAACAAGACAGAGCAGACAAGCAGACTTAGTCATTTTCACTACTAATCAAGTATAAAAGTTAAGTCAGAAGAAGCTCAAGAGATGCAAGACACAAAGGAAACAGTATTTTCAACAGAAACGCATCAGGTGTTCATTCAGGCTACTAAAACGGACGTTCGGCCACAGAAGATAACAGGTAGAGGAAGTCAAATTGTAACATTTTTAACTTGTATCAGAGTTCAGTATATTTGTCATGTGACATGGTGGATTAGAAAATGTAGGTAGTCTTAGGGAATTCTTATTGTTCAGTTACAGGTACAATATAACAGAGGCAATATTTAAATGGGGAACAGAAAATGCTAACAATGATGAAGAGGTGTGGGGAGGGGGGGTTGCAATTCAATAAGGCAGGTAATACATGTGCCCTATCTGCCAGTATGTGAACCTACCATTATTTTAGCATTTGTTTTTAAAAAGCTGAGATGGTAACTTTACATAACTTGTCATGTAAAGTCGATTTCCATGACTTTGTGCTAGTAGAGAAACATATCTGCGCTCTTAAGCACTACAGCAAATATATTTTATTCTTCAATATATTGATAGCTGTATTTTTTATTTTTTTTTTAGATGGACGTAATTAGTTAGTAGTAATGCTTATTTTAATTATTTCTCCCAGTTTGTATTGAACAGGGGCAATCTCAGAAACTGCACTGGGGGTAATACGCAGAATTATTCATTCACAGACATTCATCAGTGTTTGAATATGTGTATTAATGGGTGAGGAGCTGAACGTTTGGAGTTCTCAGAGTTCAAAAAGAAAATGCAGTTCATATTGTTCAAAAACATAAAAAAATATAGCAATTCTGAATCTTCTGTCCAATATTGGCCAGCTCTATAGCAAATTATGACCATGTTCATTACTAATATATATATATATATATATATATATATATTTACCAATTAGCATTACAAACTAAATAACAGCACTGTTTCAGAACTTGGATTGAGCTAGAATGAATACAAATGACTTTGAATCGGTCTACATAAGTGTACTAAATTGACAATATGTGATGCTTAAAGCATATGTGTAGCTACTAAAATGAGTGAAGTGACTTAACCTAAAACATAAATGGAGTCCATTTTCCTTTCCAGTATTAAGATGAACACATCTGTTGTTTACTTTGAAATGATCTTGTCTTGTGACATAGTGCGCACTGTATTTTCAGATTTCCAGAAAAAGTGTAAGTGAAACATTGCCTCTTAAAGTAACTGTCAGGATATCAGTGATACTGAGAGAGACTGCTCAGTAACTTTAGACTGCTTTTCAGAAGTCAGTAAGTGTTTCATTTTCATTTTACCATTTTCAAGAAAATAGACAACACACTACTTATAGCTCTTAAAGACTAATCGCAATTAACTAAATTGACTTGTAAACACAAAAGTATAACAGCAGGAACTGACTCAAGCATTGTATCGTTTAACAACAAATGCTATCTGTTGTTTAAAAAAAAAAGACAAAATTTAGTTTTTTAGCTATCAATTTTTAAACGGAATTTAAATCTCTGAGAATATCCTAGTTACCCCTTCCCCTCCCCTTACACCAAGCTCCCATGAACCACCACTGATCCAAAGCGGACCTTTTAACCCTGACAGCATCCACACAGTTCCAGTAGAAATAGCTGACGAAGTCATTAAGGCCTTCACCCTAAGTTTGAGCTGTCAAGTGTGGACTGTAACGCGAAAACATGCATTAAACCAGCTAACGTTAATACGTTATAAAGTTATTATAATAATTAATTACATTGCCAACGATAGTTTCAGTTGTTGAACAAAAAAACTTAAGAAGCCGATACGTAGCGTTTAACCAGGTGAAATCAACGTAGCTAACGAGCCGTTGGGATAAAACTAAGCCACTGGCAGAAACAGAACTAAAGAAACTATGCCCAAGTACACAAATTAATACCTTATAGCTAACGACGCTTTTGTAGTCCTTTTGTTATTGCTAATAGGGTCTTGGAGTTAGCATCGGTTAGCTCATAGCTAAGCTAATGGCATTTGTTTACTCGGTTGGGGTGAAGTAACTTGTTCAACTCTAACGTTAGCTCTGGCTAGCCTGCCGTGCTAACAAACGGTAGCTGACTAGAACAAACCGGTGCATCTAGGATAAAAACGAACTTCATGAAGACAGACCACGGCATCATTATTTCTATTACATGAATGTGATTTTGGCTTTTTATCCGCTCTTTATCTCATCACCAGAGCGCCGCAGTTTGTTTACGTTGTAAAACTGTTAAATTTGTGTTGTTACTCACTCTCGTCTAACAGCTGGTCCATCTCCGCCATCTTGAATTAGCCGCGCCGCTTTTTCAAAGACGTTGTCAAAATGCATTCTGGGTGGGAAATCTGTGTGGAGGGCGATTTGAGGAATAAACATTGTATAACTCAGCAAACTGGTGGCTGGAAAGTTGTTTTGTTTCATTGAATTATATCAGACATAAACTTTACATTACACATATCCACAAAGGGGATTGTAATTCTCACCGGAAACATTTGAAAAACTGTTGGGAATGATATCAAAACCAGATTCATCCTCGGGCACTCAGCAACCAGTCTTTGTTAGAGGTTTAGCACATTCTGAGACCTACGAGGGTATAATGCCTTAATAAGGACACTATGTCGAACTTCCTAACTAATAACAGCAAATATTTGTGAAATAATACATTCTCAGACAAGCCTTTTTTATTGAATGAGATGGCACAGGTAATTAAGTGAATCTCTTAATGTCAGATGGCATCCGCTCAGATCATGTCTAATGGTGAATGGTTAACTTTTTCGCATTTTGCAATGTTACAACCACATACCTCAATGTTATTGGGAAAACCAAGTGATGCATAACTTGTCATGTGAAAAACATGTTTCTCTCATTTTCTTCAAACTAACAATAAAAAAACCTGGAGTATTTGTGTTTACTTCTGTTGTATCTGATTCAGTAGCAAATTGCCTTCATAACTCAAATATACATAGACCCCATGTGAAAAATTAAATCTCTCAAAAAAATATTTTGATCAAAAATTATAGGCATCAGTAACCTTTACCATCCAAAGAGATATTTGGAGCCTTGCTTCTTTAGAATTAATCAAATTTTGCTTTGCAAAACAACAAAAGACACTTCATCTAGTTTTGTAAGTACCTGCTATTTTTTTTTCAGTGGTTAACAAACCAGTCTTACTCCTGTTCTTGGCTTGCAGCTCATAAAACCCCCGATATAAAAAAAATGATTTGAACACGTCAAACTTAAACTAAAAAAGTAAAAAATGTATAATGTAATGTATATACAGACATTATTTGCTTATATTACATTAAGCCACAGAAATATTTTTAAAACTTGATTTTTATTATGTTTATATTTAAAAAAACAACAACAAAAAAAAAAAACGCTGCTCAGTTCAACACCAAAGATAATCTGAGCAACTGCAGAAAGCCTGAAGCCTGCCACAGGTTGCAGATCCCACAAACCGCATCCAATGTGAAAGATGAGTATAAAAACATTCTATGAGGATGAATTATTTGAGCAGGGAATGTTGGTCAGAACTCAAAGATGGTTCAAGCTATATACAGAGAAATGCAGAAAATAAAATGGTGCAAAAAAAAAAAAAGTGAGACGGTTGAAGATACACTGTCCAGCATAGTGACAATCCATTACCTGAGCTGAGAGGTTTTGAACAAAGTATCTTCTATAGGTGGAAAATAATTATCTCTCTCTCTCTTTGTAAAAAAAACGTGACGGTTGAAGATACACTGTCTTATACTATATATATATATATATATATATATATATGATTATATTTTCTATTATAATCCTGTGCAGTTGCCCTCCATCCAATCCGATTTGAGATTCACCTAATTTATGAGGAATGGGCAGAAATTTCATTCTCTAGGTTTGTTTAAGAATCATATCGCATAAGTCTTTCAGCTGTAACAACAGCAAAAGGTGGTTCTACAAAAAAAAAATACTTGAAAGGGGGAGAATATAGATGTAGACCAGATGTAGACCTCACTTTTCCATGTATTCTTCCACTGCAGAGTAATATGCTACCTTGTGATAATCTGTGTCATAAAATTACAATCTAATTTGTGGTTTCAATATAGCAACACAAGAAATGGCTAAGGGAACATGAACAGGTTGGCAAGGAACTTTAATAAGGTACGCAGGAAAAACAATCCAGTTTGTGTGAGGTTGATTATGCAAAACAGGAATTAAACCTAAATATCTGGATATAATTATCACGTGGTTTAAAGTCGACCAAGTCCTGGACACTCACATGATCTACCAGAACTTGTCGAAGAATAGAATTTGTTTTTGCGATCAGGAAAAGAAACCAAAGTGACAAATATTTTAGGATGCAACTCGTTTTATTGCCATGGAGGTAAGCAAGAAAAAGGGAACCTTTAAAGGGGAATAACAGCTTGATAGAAAGAACAAACCAAATATGTACATGTCAAACGTTAAAATCGGCAGTCTACAAAATGCAAGAGTCTAATTCAGAAAAAAAAAGACTAACCACAGGTATGCATGTGTGTAGTATGCATGGGCACAGCTCACAATGCCTTTTAAATATGAAGTAGGTATGTAACTCTCTTATTAAGTAGAGTTTAATGTTCAGAATCAAACATGATCAACTCCTGATGAACATGGTTTATCATTAGTCCTTTTCCTGCACCGCCGTGTGCACCACACATGAACTAACTGTTGATGCCAAGCGCTACAAGCTACAGAAACTGATGAAAATAAAGTAAAATGACTTCACATGGGTTAGGGCATAGTATAGCTTCACTCCTCTATATGCCATCTGCTACAGAAAATGAAGCCAAGGCATGTAGTTGCAACAGTGGTCTTTTTTTTTCCCCCTTGAAAGGTCCAGACAAGATCCTTTTCACCACAGAGATGTCTGGTAGTTAAACCTGATCTTCAGGAGATACTTCAAGTTTATCTGAGCCACATCATATACAATGTACCTGGAGGAACAGTGGTTAAGGAAAAACGAGATGGACAATGCAGTCCAGTGCATTTTATCATATCCGATATATTCGTCATGTTAAAAATAGAATATTGCATAAATTACGATAATAGAATTATTTTGGGGTTTTTCTATTAGTCCTGACCACAACACCACTCACCCCTCTGCTCATTCCCACACTCAGCCATTTTTTGACTCCACCCAGTTTGCAGAAATTTTTAAACTTTGCCATGTGAGGGTTTATTTTTTTCCAGATGAGGGTTAGTTAGACTTTAATGATGACTTTGCTCTTTTTGTGTTCAGAGGTGAAGAAAAAACTGCAGGCAGCAGAAAGAAAACAGGCAAAACAAGAAAACTAAAGGGTCACTTCTCAAAATGACCTTTACATTCACAGGTACTGAGACAACCAAAGGATACTCGTTGTACAGTAGACTTGTGTCATCAATGTTAGTATTGACTCCTTTTCCCAGAGGCACTTGCACCCCGTTCAAAGTGGCAGACGCATTTGGATCAGGAGCGGTTCTACCCAAACCTGGAAATGTCGAAAGAAAAAGTAAAAAGACGAAAAACATAAATGCAACAAAATTTTTTTATCTCCAATACAACCTAAATTTATAACCATTATAATATTAACAGTACCCTCTGCAAGAATTGACACCCTTAGTAGCGATGTGCAAAAGGTCTAAACGTAAACTAATCTTCCAACAGAGCAGCACAACCTCACTAAAAATTTCTGAAAAGTCACATTTTTAATTTAAAAACATTGATTCAATGGAGGAGAAAATATCAAAAACCGAAATATCCACAAATTGTGGAATGCCTAACAACTATATTAAAGAGAAGAAGACTTCCTGTCTGATTTTATAAGCATGCTAGAATCTAATTTCATTAACAAAAAAAATATATGAGATGACACAGTGGCCCATTTCCATAATCCACTCTTCCAAATGTATTTTTATTAGGGCTGCACAAAAAGTATGCATCACATGATCAGTCTAGTATTTGATGAAGCAATAGTGAAGGTTCTTACCTTTAACACTGTGCTTCCCCTTTGGTAATTTTGTAATGTGAGAGGCTTTCTTCAGTTCATGCCTGTGTTTGCGAACACAAAGGATCGTGTTCATTTATACAATCACATCAGCTGTTTTTAAACTAAATATATACATCAAGTCGCCACTTACATGTTGCCTAGAGCGACCTCTGCCAGCAGAATGAGTCCCACAGGGTCCGACTGAGAGGTGTGGCAGTAGTTTGCACTCTTGGACACCATGTCGGCAAAGTACACACCTTTGCCGAACATGTAGCCAGTCTGAAAAGTTAAAGTGGGAAGAATTAGTATTTAAAAGCAACAAAGCGCTGTGACAAAGAACACCTTCTTTGCATACAAGACACTCACCACAGGGGCCTCTGGAGGTGCAATGCGAAGACCCTGAGACAGAATACCAGCGTAGTTTGTGGCGCGAGACCCGTGCCACAGTAGCTGTCGATTGTGTAGCTCCTCGAACGGACTGTAGCGTTGGTGCTCTCCTTCTCGTGCGACTTTGAAGATCTTAAGAGGAGATAACAATGTGAGCTTAAATTTATTGTGTGAAAAGAGGTCTACTTGAAGAAAACAAGCTATTTATGCGGATTTTATAAACAAACGTGTAATAGTGACGTACGTCTTGCACTTCCAGGGTGTAGGTGTTGTGTGTAGCCGCGTGGGTGTTCTTAACGTATTGCATGATGATCTCAGCCTCCTGCGTGGTCTTGTCAATGACCTGCGGATTTATCAAGACACGTTACGCACCTTCCTCGGACAACGGGAAATAAATAAGAAAATGTTTCACCTCTTACCTCGATCTTAGTTTTGAGCTTCTCGTAGTTGATGTCAATCGGATCGTGCTCGTTGTCCTGAGCTCCTCCTCTCAGCAAGCTGTAGGCGACCTCGATGTCCAGCAGGTTGTCCAGCATCTCAACTTTAGCCTGCCGAGGAACATTTGTGAAATGGGCATTTGCTCCCGAATTCAGAACTGCTCTCATCAAAGAGACGTGGCGAGAAGAAGACTGTTGTGAGTGGGACAAAAATGTCACCTGAATGTAATCCAGGTTGTTGAGGAGAGGAGGTTTCTTCATGCCGAAGTCGTGAGGAATGAGGGTGTAGAAGCGATTGGAGAGATCCAGTATCTGTGCCTCAGGTACGCTGTCCGACACAGCCTATAACAACAACAATAGTAAGAGATACAGAATCTGACAATAAATGAAGCAACAGATCAACATTTCCTAATAAGAAGATTTATATCTGCAAAGAGTTGTGCAGTAGAAGACTGTTTAAAGGACAGTGTAGAGAGGTTGTAATCTTTGTCATAGTCTGTTGTGTAGAGGGGCTCACTGCTGGTAG